ATCTGTAGATCCCATTCTGAAGTGTTATTAGAGTTCCGTGAGTTATGTCTGTCTGGAGAACATGTAGAGTGAGAATTACTTATTGAAATTATCTATTTATTACATATTCATCCATTTTCTACTGCTTGGGTGGAATATGTGTTGTGGAGTCTCTTCTTCCTTTTTCCCGTTCTTGAGTTCTGCTTTATATTTTATGGAGTTGTAGCTAGAACAGATACAGTAGATGACCTCCCAGGCATTACTGTTTATAAAAAGTAAATTAAAAGAATATAAAATGAGAATAGCAAGTTCGAAGATAAAGTAAAATAAAACAGACATAGATTCAAAGCTGCTCACCCATCGCCCTCTTTAGACCACTCCCATCAAAGTTTGTTTGTGGCAAGATGACTATGTTTAACAAGAAGTCTTAATATGTTCTCAAATAAATTGTTTGACATATTTTTTGATATATTTAGTAGTTCTAAGCTTTAAAAATTGAGTGACCTTTCTGATAGCCATGGGAGAGGAATGTATGACTCCCCAGATATTATTGAAATATAACCTGACTTCTGGGCCATGGTGGTGGCTGGCTGAACTGCTGTAAGATATAGATCTTCATCCCAGCAAGTGTTGTTACTGCTGGACCTGATAACTAGAAAAGTTATTCTTACAAAGAAAGGCATCTCAAATTTATTTAATCAGAAAAAAAACAGTTCTAAAAGAAGTTATTTTATTGATAAAAGAGAATGTTTGTAGCTCAGGGTTGAAATGAGGGGTCCTTGGTGCTCTCTGAGTTTGGCTATTTTCTTGCAGATGTTTCATTACCTTAACTAGGTAACATCATCAGTGCTGTGAGGAAGATGGGTTTACTCTCAATTTATATTCTAGTGACTTGCCCTGTCATTACTCTGAAGTTCTGTATGGTCAAACATGGACTATAAATTAATAAACAGTTTAATGTAGAAACTGAGCAGTTGATGGGTCAGAAAGATGTATACTTGGCCTCTGTTCAGCATCAGCATCTACCACCTACGTTAGATAGTAGATACTGATTTTGTGTAAGGAGATTCAAAACCTTACCAGGAATACATGAATCAAAAAATGATAGGAAGAATCTTTCTACTGCTAATGGTTGCTGTAATGTTGATGTGAATCTCGTCAGAGCATTTTTCCTGTGTTATAAAGGTTATATAGGGTCTTTTTGAGAGGATAATGTGTTTAAATGAAATAAATTTTATGATGTAGGCATGATGACAAGTGTGCCTTGTGGTTTATCTTTAATCCTCCAGTGACAAAACGGAATAAATAATAGCTTTAGGTAACCCAAATTGCTTGCTTGTCAAAAGTTTTTAAATAAAGCATAACCCTAGAAGATATGTAAGATGCATGCTCAGTGATGTAAAGGAATTGTGAACCAACAGAGCATTCAGCGCAATGACACTTTCGGAGAGAAATTGTTGAACTTGTGTGTCAAAGGAGTGATTATCCTTGGGCACAGAACAAATCTAAAAAGAAAAGGATTAAGTGATTGTGATCTTTCTTCCCCTAAATATTGTTCATTATTTGTTTTCAACAGAAACGTTTAAGGGCCTTTTGGATAAAATTGTGGTGGAATTTACAGCAAATCTTTAAAAGAAGAATTACTTTTTTGCCTCAGTTGTTTCTCCTAGGTATCACACAAAACTTGGATGTAAAAGAAACGAATTTGATGTTGTATTGTTTAACTGCTGCCCGTTTGCTGATAGCTCAAAATTGGAAGAGTAAAGTTCTACCTACAATGGAGGAC